TCCTAATATATATAAAGGAATGTTGTGGGCCTCATATCTAAAACTCCAATGAACAAGGTACACCAATTTTTGAATTCAAATTCCAAATCACATTTGAATTTAAACAAAGGAGAAGAAAAATAAAACAGAAAAAGGAAAAGAAAAGAAGAAGACCCACACTATGGCTCGGCCGCTTTCGGCCCGCTTTAGCGGCAAGATTAGGCCGTGCCCAACCAACAAATCAATTTTAGCGCTGCAAGGCAAGACTCAAAATTTCAGTAGCCCCTCATTGCTGCGCAGTCGGCCTAACTCAAGACGTCCAAATTTAACAAGCCAGCCTCAACACCATTCATGCTCACAAGCCTTCGCCTCGCTTTTGTCGCCACTACCACCGGACCCCATGTGTCAGCCACACCCCGGCACAGTGTCGTCTTCCTCCCCACGCCGACACCGCCTCCGACCGAGACCCGACCAAAGTGACAAGCGCGGGCCCGGGGTCACGCGAATCACCTGGCCCTGTCCCCTTGGCGCTACACCCATGCAACCTCCACGCCAACCACTCGCGCCCGCGATACCATTCGATGCCAATGGCGCATCGCCAGCCGTCCGCCATAGATGGAGCTCGGACCCCGGGGCTATAAAGCAATGCCCAGAGCCCTAGGGATTCCTCAGCCACCGCCACTGCTTGGTGGCCCAACAGCCCGCACTGCACCGAGAGAAGAGGGCCGAGAAGGAGTTCGAAAGAGGGGGAGGCGACCAGAGAGAGCTCGGAGGCGCCGATCACCGAAGCCGGAGCGCCGCCCTAAGCGCCTACCCCGACAACACGCCTCGCCATAGCACCACCACCGAACGCCGCCAGCACCGCTCGATGAGTCTTTTGGCTGAGACCTCCTCCTAGCCCTTGGACGCCGTAGCAGAGCACACGCACGCCGCGCTCACGACGCCGCCGTCATGGCGCGGCCACCACTTGCGCACCCGGCCGCCTCGCCGGACTAGGAAGTAGCCGTAGCATCACCGTGATGACCGGAAGATAGCCGCGTAGACCGAGACCCCGTTAGCCGGCCGTAGTGCCTTGGCCATGAGCACCAGACCACCGCCCGGAGCTCCGCCGTGCACCACCACCGTGCGCAGACTCCACCACGCCTTTTGGTCACCGTCGACACTTTACCCTATCGCCCGCTAGCTGTATGAAAGGGAATGGGGCACTAGGACCCCTGGAACAGCCCCTAGCTGCCCCGCCGGCGAGCACCGCCACGACCAAGCCACCGACCACCGTGGCCAACGCCTGGAAGCCCTGGCCACCACCTAGACCCCACCACCGTGTTTGCCGAAGCCTGGCAAAGCTTTTCACCACCTCAATTGGACGCCAACGCCGCTGTGGAAGCTCGCTGGTGAGCACACCACCGGCGGGAACACGCCGGGAGGGAAGCAGAGGAATCCTTCCTCACCGGCCGCACGCGCTTGCACCCAGTGCACATGGACCAGGCCAGAGGGAAGAAGGGTGGACTCGGTCCACCGAAGACCAGCCAACGATCCATGGACCGTGAACATGAGTCCACCGTGAACCACGCAGTGTGGGCTGAGCCGTGAACGAAGCCTAGTGGGGGCCCATGGCTACGATGTGGCAGCGCCATAGCATGCCACGTGTTCGAGTCGGCCCAGCCCAAATCCAGTCCTGTCCCGGCCCAACCGGCCCAGTTCAGACTTGGTCCGTGTTGATCGTTGATCGGTCAACGTTGACCGATTGACCGGACCCACATGTCAGCGACACAGAGACTCTGGACCCACATGTCAGTAAGTGACGTCATGCTGATGTCATGATGACGTCACGCAGGTCCCACCTGTCAGTAACAAACGCAGCCGAGGTGACGTCATGATGATGTCACGGTGACGTCAGCAGCTCTGGCCCCACCTGTCTGTGACTGAGGTCACGGTGACGTTGACTCGCTGTTGACTTGACATTGACTTTGACCGGACCCACATGTCAGTGACCCAAGAGCCCCTGGTCCCACCTGTCAGTAGCTAATGACGTAGATGACGTCATGCTGACATCATGATGACGTCAACGGGACCCCACCTGTCAGTACCAGAACCAAAACGATGATGTCATGCTAACATCAGCATGCCACGTGGACCAGTCACAGTGTGACACGTGTCAGCCCAGGATTAATTTAGCCTTTTCCATTTTCAGAGATGAATTAAACTTCGGAAATTCATAACTAATTCATACGACCTCAGAAAAATATGAAACCAGAACCAAAATTCATCTAAAATCGAGCTCTACGCAATGAACCCATGTTTGAGTGCATTTGGCTCTTTTAAATTTTCATTGCTTCTTTGTGCTATTATATAGACATCGCTAACGCGACTATAATGTGATCGTTTGTAGACTCGGAGGAGAACCAGACGGACAAGGACCGAGAGTACCATGAGGAGTACGGAGATGACTACACTGAAGGTGCCACATCCCACCCAATCTCGTAGCACCTATTACGCATGGCTAAAATAGAAATGCTAGTGCTTTACTTTATTATTATGATCACACTATGATAGGACTTGCATGGTAGTATGCTTTCTTGATGGCCTTTACCTTGACGCAACCTTACCCCTGCATACCCTGCTATTAGGCTAGACACACGCTTACTGCTATATTTCATTGCTTGTACTTCTACTACGCTTATACAACATTAATGCGTGGTGTTATTTGGACTATGGGGAGAGTGTTGCGTGTGTGATTTGGGTGTGTGGAGGGTGAGGGTTGTGTCGACCAAGTTGGAGTATACGACGAGCCTGGTGCAAGTCTTGCCGTGGGGTGCTACCTGGACACCCCTGGAATGGATACCTGTGGTGGGTAAATGGTATATGAGGTGGCCCTAGGTGTAAACCTGTAATGGGAGGAGCCTAGGGTGGAGGTGATGTGGTGGCATGGTAAATGTAAACCCTGATGAAGACATTCTGGCTTGGTCATCCCTAAGGACTTACTAGTACTCAGATTCACCGGGAAGCCTTACGTACCACTCGCCCTATATGATGCGGGACGGCCAGACTACTTGGTAGGATATTGCCACTACTGCTAGGTTGATAGCGGACAGTGTAAGGAGGTACGGGGCGCGGAGGATTTTCCCCACAGCCTTTCGAGACTTCATGGAGACCTTGTGGACCTGGCTCATGACTCACAGTTCAGCCACCCTAGACTAGACTTGGAGTGTACCAGGGCTGAATGGTAGAGTGGCATTATCCTAGGCTAGCAAGCGGCCGAAATCAGCCCAGTTGACGACGGCCAGCGAGGAAGGCGGATCTTGTGGTTATGTAAAACCTCTGCAGAGTGTATGGTTGATCGATCGATACATATGCCGACTTATCGGCTATGGACCTTTTCTGGGTTTCGCTTAAACTAGATAGTGAGATGAGTCCTTCTCTTCTCCCCGTAGGAGTGAGTGTTCGGACGTAGCCAGGGGCTACAGGCCTTGAGACAGTACCGAGAGGGAGTTGGCCTGTCGACTGAGCGATGGTATGGTGATGGTGTGGAGATGGTGGTATATCGATCCCAGAATCGAAACCTGGCTCTAAAATGGGAATGGGGTGGAATGTGTGTGGGAATGGTGTTAAAACTTGACCAACTGTTATTATATACTTGATATGCTAATACATAAGAAACCCCAGCCTTATAGGTTCCTTTTGAATATATCCAACTTGCATCCAATTTCCACAAAGCAATGCTCATAGGGTGGGAGTGGCCAGTACAAATCGTACTGATAAATTTTGGCACACAGGTTCTGCTGATAAGTATAGCTCCGAGGAGTTTGACGGTTGTGGGGTTCGTTCCTACGCTTAAGTTTGGCGATCTTATCTTCAAGCTGTTCTGAATGAATGCTACTTTTGATTCCGCCAATGCGGCGATGTAATAATTTATGTAATTCCGCACTATTTGTACTCTGATATTATCGTTGTATGGATGTGATATTCGACTAGAATTTGGGTAATATGGTCTACAACGGACTTATTACACTTTGACTCTGTGGATTTTCTTTCGTGGAAATCAAGTCGCTTCACAAACCATCAGCCTATCTCTCTGTAGCTCACGGAACATCATCAGATTTATTACTATCAAGTCTGTCTACTACATAATTATGTGTTTTATATAGTTTCAACACATAATTTTTTATACTATAGAATTAAGATCCAACAGCTTTCACCCTTCTTCTACCTCCAGCCTCCAACCTTCTTCTACCTCTAGACAATCATAAATCACAAGATCATAGATCCACATATCACAGATCACAAGGAACAATTTTTTCTATGGAAAGACAAATCACAGATCGCAGAGGAGGAGGAGAGGCCTACCTGAAGTCGGATCCGCTGCCGCCACAAACGCGCCACTGGCATTGGGCGACTCCTGGTCTGGTGGAGCCTCTGGCATGGTATGGCCTGGACCAGCGGCGCAGGCACTATGGCCGGCTCTGGTTAGGCCCCACTGCGTGACGCCGCACGACGCCATCGCACGCACCAGGCACCATAGCAGTACTCGGCGGTCGGCAGCGGCAGGGGGCCCGACGCTACGCTACGGCCACACGAACACGGGATTCCAACGTGATTAGCCACGTGCTTAGCAGGCAGCAGCAGGGAAGCAGTGCGAGCAGTAGGCCGAGAGGCACGAGCGTGGTGCCTCCTTGCACGCCGGTTATGACATATGGGCCCTAGATGTCATAGATAAAAAAAATTCATATGTTTTTTTATGCTAAAATATATGTATGTTGTATAGCATTTTTGTCGTAAACATCAACCGCCTCTGTTGATGCTGGAGAATGTCTCTCTCTTCGTTTCTCTTTATTTTCTTTTGGTTCTCACCGACATCGATACCCACGGTTGCCTCGTCCACCGTTCACTGACTGGTTGGACCTACAGGATCGCCCACCGGCCTCTTTCTGCCTCGGCATCTGCTCAGATCCGCGACGCGCTTCGCCACCGGCCACTCCACTCCCTCGCTCCCACTCGGCGACTTCCCCATCCGGCCATCCCCAATGGCCGGCGGCCGCGCGTTCCGGCCGTCCGCGCCGCGCCGCGCGGCGTTCGCGGCTCTGCTCACGCTCCTCCTCCTCGCGGCACTCTCCTTCCTCCTCTCTTCCACGCCCGCCTCGTCGGCGCGTTCCTCGTCCCCGCCGTCCGCGCGCCTCGCCGCCGTCCGCCGCCACGCTGCCGACCACGCGGCTGTCCTTGCCGCGTACGCCGCGCACGCACGGAAGCTCAAGGAGGCCTCCGCAGCGCAGTCGCTCTCGTTCTCGACCCTCTCCTCCGACCTCTCCGCGCTGTCCGCCCGCCTCGCCTCCCACCTCTCCTCCTCGCTCCCCGAGGACGCGCTCAGGCCCCTCGAGAAGGAGGCCCGCGAGCGCATCAAGTTCGCGCGCGCCCTCGCCGCTGACGCCAAGGAGGGGTTCGACACTCAGTCCAAGATCCAGAAGCTCTCCGACACCGTCTTCGCCGTCGGCGAGCAGCTCTCGCGCGCGCGCCGCGCGGGGCGCATGTCCTCCCGCATCGCTGCGGACTCCACCCCCAAGTCGCTCCACTGCCTCGCCATGCGCCTCCTCGAGGCCCGCCTCGCCAACCCCTCCGCATTCGCCGACGACCCCGACCCGTCCCCCGAGTTCGATGACCCCGCGTTGTACCATTACGCCATCTTCTCCGACAATGTGCTCGCCGTCTCCGTCGTGGTGGCCTCTGCTGCGCGCGCCGCGGCCGACCCCTCGCGCCACGTCTTCCACGTGGTCACCGCGCCCATGTACTTGCCTGCATTCCGGGTCTGGTTCGCGCGGCGCCCGCCACCGCTTGGCGTGCACGTCCAGCTCCTTGCTTACTCCGACTTTCCATTCCTTAATGCCACCAACTCGCCGGTGGTCAGGCAGATCGACGCCGGCAACAGAGACGTCGAGTTGCTGGATTACCTGAGGTTCTACCTTCCAGATATGTTCCCGTCGCTGCGGAGGGTGGTCCTTTTGGAGGACGATGTGGTGGTGCAGAAGGATTTGGCAGCGCTTTGGCAGGTCGACTTGGACGGGAAGGTGAATGGTGCAGTGGAGACGTGCTTCGGGGGGTTTAGGAGGTACAGGAAGTATCTCAACTTCACACAGCCCATTGTGCGGGATCGATTCAATCCCAGTGCCTGTGCATGGGCATATGGGGTAAATGTGTTCGATCTTGAGACATGGCGGCGGGATGGTTGCACAGAATTGTTCCATCAGTATATGGAAATGGTGAGCTGCTCTGAACTCTGTTCACAACTTACATGTGGCATTGTAGTATATTGGGGTTGATAACTGGCTATATATGTAGTTTAGGTCATGTGTGCTTCAACTTCACCTTTTCACTAGCTTGATGTGGATTCTGTTTAAGTTTTTTTTCCATTACCAATATTCATGTGTTGGATTTAAGTACAGGGTGCTTCAGCCTGTAACGTTTGGTATTGCAACGAAGAAATTTGTGTCTCTAGGCTAATGATTCCAGTAACTTGTGTTATTCATGGCTGTGTACAGTTGATTGGATAGCAAATCATTTGTAGAATTTTTAATATTAATGTCTTGATGGATTGGCCCAAACAATTGCATGGTTCAGTCTTATGCACTCAACTACTCAGCTCCTATGTCTTATTGTTTAACAAACTTACAATTATCTTAAATCATATCTTAGCAAGCCTTGCTTTGATTGTTAGAGTGTTTTCTTTTCTTTTGAGTTTTAATGAGTTTCCTAGTGACTGTCTCAGTTTTGTTTTAAATCTTATCTTAATGTGGGTTGTTTTATAGTGTTATGATTACTTCCTCTTAGTTTAATTTGGTTGCTGTACTCCCTCCATTCCAAATTATGTCGTTTTGGCTTTTCTAGATACATAGCTTTTACTCTGCATCTAGATATATGCTATGTCTAGATACATATCTAAAAAAGCCAAAATGACTTGTAATTTGGAATGGATGGAGTATTTAGGATCACCAAATTGAGCTAGTGTTGTGATGTTTACTTCCTCTTAGTTCAATTTCGTTGCAGGTAGGTAACTTCTAATTGCTGGGGTTCAAATGTGATGACGGTCACAAAATTGAGTGTGTTATGTTTTTTCATTCCTTTTTAACAGGAACTAGAAGTGTTTTTCCTGTTTCTGAGAACATGTAAGCCATGCCTTGTCATTTTTTTCTGTTCTGGGTCCAGCTGAACCAAGGTCTATAGTTTTTCATGTTTTTCTCCTTTTTGTCAGGAATGTTAAAGTCCTAACATGGCATATTAATTTTTAGTATATAGTGGATTGGTGCACATTGGGGTCTTGGCAACTTTCTGGAAGAGTTCCTATCTGAGAGTAGGGTTCATGTGCTCTAGTAATGCTTTGCTCTGAAGCCTAAACTTGTTTACTTCATAATCTAACTAACAATATGTTCTGCATTAGTCTCTGATGTGTAATATCTGTATACAATTATGCGAATGATGCCAATAGTTGCCCACTCTTATCAGAATAAAATTCACCTGATTTTGACCCAAGGGACTGATGTTTGTATATTCTTATGGCAGAATGAGGATGGCGAGCTGTGGGATCCTACATCCATTCTAACAGCTGGGCTGATGTCCTTTTATGGCAATACCAAGCCACTGGATAAGTCATGGCATGTAATGGGTCTTGGCTATAATCCAAGCATCAGCCCTGAGGCAATCCGTAGTGCTGCAGTGATACACTTCGATGGGAACATGAAGCCCTGGCTTGATGTTGCTTTGAACCAATACAAGGCCCTGTGGACAAAGTATGTGGACACTGAAGTGGAGTTCCTAACACTGTGTAACTTTGGTCTTTGAAGAGATTCTAGAGAGCTTCTAAGGAATCCACTGGCACATGCTACCTTTTCTTTCGGGACAAAAGAGCCTCGAACGCTGCACAAGTGGACTTATCTGTAGCAGAGTTGTTACTTGTGCTGGGCAACAATATTCTTGTAGATCTGGTAGCTTGTTTGTGATAGTATTTGTTCTGTCAGCTAAATTTGCTGGATTATTGTGCATAGAGAATGAGTCAATGGGAGGAAGCTGTAGATGAACATTCCTGTATTATTGAATAACAAGCGTATCTCCAATTGTATCTATAAGGAAAAGAAAAGGTTGCTGGGATCAGGTTGGAATTCTATTTTGCTGGTGTTTCCTTGCCCTTGCGCTGTTGTGCACCGATCTTTTTTGAGAATACTACTGGTTACTTTGAGGTATGATGTCGATGAATACTAGAAATGCAGTGATGCACAATAATGTTGTCAACCATTTGTCAGATGCTGCTTTCACTGAGACTTTTCACTTTTAATCCAGAACACAAGGTATTTTAAACAGGTCATGTATGCACGACGGTGGATAAATGTCTAATGTTGGTGTGTTTTGTAGGTGTGCGAATGCTTGCTTTTTCTCTGGTTTCATTATCTTCCCCTTTTACTTTTTCTTTAATGATGGTTTCATTATCCTTCTTTTTTGGCGGAATCCTGTCCTTAAACTTTGCTACAAAGCTCAAATTCGCCCATCAACATTCAAAACGGCCGTTTTAGTCCCGATTGCAAATTTGGTTTGATCTCCTCCTCCGTCTAACGTGGCTCCATGTTAGCTCATCTTGTCAACCTAGTCGGTTCTGAGACAGGTCAACACACTTGAATTGAACAATTTGCCCTCTCCTATTTCCATTAAGCCAACCACGGTCCAAAGCACAACTCATTTTATCTGTTTCTATGGCGGTTGCGCAAGTGGCTGGGGTTTGAAGCATCCCGTCGACGTCGAGGAGAGTGCAGAGGCTCGGAGGCTAGCTGCTGGTTGGTGTCATGCTGCTAATTGATGGTCTCACCGTGAATAAGAGCAGAGGTGGAGGTAATATGTACTAGCATTTTAAAGTTAGAAAGATCAGACACGGGAAAGGTTAGAAAGATCAGGCACATGGCTCAACTCTGTTATGTCTTGCGAAACAGTGAAGTTAGATTTGAAGTGAGAGATAATAAGACACGCTCTTGTAGATTTGGGCAAATTTCTAGAATTCTATGGCAATATGCTTGTTTTGCTATGTCCAAATGGCTAAAGAACCTACAATTACATACATTTGTGTAGGAGCACACCCAGTGATGGGGCGAGCGGGGCTCAAGCCTCCCACCCCACCCAACCCCCCTACCACCTCCCACATAATGGAGCCCCATTGAGGCCCTCCTCTATTATGGAATATAGATTCTAAAATTTGTAGGGGTCTATATATGTCCTAAATTTAACATTTTAAGCCTCGTTTGAATTTAAGGGGTTCCAAAGGAAAATTGCAGGAATTAAAAACGGAGAAAAGGAAGTTGGAACATAGGATTACGGGTTTTCCTTTCCATCGTGTATGCCCGAGGCAACACCTGGGCACCGCTATCGCTGCCCTCGTACGTGGAGCTTGTTGCCATCACACTGATGATGGGACATATGCTTGTCGTGACAACATGTCACTGCCAAAGAGAGTTGTGTGCATGGTTGGTATCTGTGGAACCCATCTAATTCTTGTTTCTTGTATTTTCGTTCATGTATTTCAAATACCTTTTTTGGCTCCGTTCGCTTCGCTGAAAAAATAAACCGAAACACTGTTCCGGCTGATTTGTTGTGAGAGAAAAAATATTGTTCCGGCTGAAAAAACAAGCTGAAAAATACGGATTATAAGAGAAGCGAACAGGGCCTTTCTATATTTTTCTTCGATTTCCCATTTCCCTGTTTTTCTATTTCCTTCATATCGTATTTGTACTTTTTTCTATACCTCTGTTTGTAGCTTTGGACATCAAGTTGGCTCCATTAATTGGGACCTACGTAGGGCTCTTTTCTGCCCTCGTCCCTGCCCCTGACTTTTCTTAATTTAGTCCTTGTTGAAAAAAATACATTTAGTCCTCTAAGGAAAGGATTTTAAAAATAGAGCTCGGCTAGAAAACACGTTCATAGCCGCATTATTTGGCGCCAAGATTGGTGATGTGGCGCTGAGATGGTGGCTAACGTGTCCACGGGGTGGGCGTCGTGGTCCCTGGCTTGCCGAAAGTGATTTGATTAATATAGTTGCATGCATGCTGCCTCGTGTTAGAACACTCTATTCGTTTGCTCATTGTTCATCTTCCTCATCATCCCGCTGCCACCCACCGCCCGCCACGGCCGCGTTAGGGTTTTGTCGGAGCTCCGCCCTTGCCCCGACCTAGCCTGGCTGCCTCCACCGTCGTCAGGGCCCCTAAACCGCCCTGCCGTCGTCCTCACTGTCTGGCCGGTCTTCCTTCTCTGTACTCCCTTCTATGCCCGCCGTACTTGGAGAAGAAGAGGAGGAAAGGCCGGATTTACTATAGAAATTGAATTGAGTGCTGCGCGCTCCAGAAACACTCGAGTATCGTTTAGCGTCTCTCAAACTAAAACATTTATTCCATCCTTTGTTAGCAAGGCTAAAACATATGCGGCAGTGAAACCACCCAGCTCTCGGACCGCACCCAAATAGTTTTCTCTCAACTTCTCCTCACTCCATCCGGGCCATACAACAGTACAAGAGCAATCGGGGAAAATCGGGTGGTCTTCTTCTTCCTATATAATCGGTCTGTTCGTTGGTTGATTTCTGGGCTGATAAGTTCGGCCGGTGTTAATTTGATGTGAGAGAAAAACGTCATTGGCTGACGAGAGGCTGAATATATATATATATATATATATACCTCTGGCTCGCCGTCTCAAGTCCGGGTCAGAAAAAATCCTCCTTTCCCCTGACTATCGCGGCCACTCCACCTCCAGGTATGTCGCCCCCTTCCTCTGCCGCTCCGCATAGGTAGAGTCGACCATAAGTTAGGTTTCCCCCAAATACTTCTCTCGAATCGGTTACAATCGTAGAATTTTCCACCAAAAATCCCTTGTTAGGAGCACGATTGATTGCCCTAAAATTCTTGTTCTTCTCTGATCCGATAAAATCGTAGACCCCCTCCCCGAAAAATTCGTTTATATGGTGTGCGATCGATCCACCCGTGCGCAATAACTGTCGATTACTCGGTTGTGGTGGATCCAATTCTGCTTTTGTGGTAATACTTCTCGTTTCCTCCACAAATCTGCACCGAGCAGCGGCCATGGTGAAGAAGCCCAACGGCGTTGCCAAGGCCACGGCGACCTCTGCCGACGCGGCAGCCCGGCCATCCAAGGCGAATCCGTCCACCCCTGGGTCGGTCAAGGCCTCGAAGTTTAAGAAGCTGAAGATGGTCAAGGCCAACCGTGAGAAGCCAGCGGTCGCTGCCGCAGCTGTTGACGAGGTCGCCCCCTTAGGCGCAGGCACTGGTGATGGCGATGCATCTGCATCGGCGGTTTTACCGCAGCCATCCAATGTTGCTGAGGCGTCACCTGTGGTGCAAAAGCAGCCATCCAATGTTGCTGCCGAGGCATCACCTGTGGTGCAAACGCAGCCATCCAATGTTGCTGATGCATCACCTGTGGTGCAAACGCCAAAGTCAGCCACTTTTGCTGAGGCATCAGCTGTGGCACAGACGCAGAAGCCAGCCACTGATGCTGAAGGTTCAGTGCCTGCACCAATGCCAGCGACTGCTGAAGCATCAGCTTCGTCACCAAAGCCAAAACCAGCTCATGCTAATGCTGATGCTGCAGTGGCAATTTCTGCCAGCAAGGGCAAGGGTGAGGGCGAGGGCGAGGGCGAGGGTGCTGGTAATAGCGGGGGTGATGGCAGGATGAAGAGCAGAAGAAGGAGGTCTAGGAGTGGCAAGGGGAAGGAGGTTGTGGAGGATGGAGGAAGTAAGGGAAAGGAGAAGGGGAAGAAGTCTGTGGGCAAGAAGGAAGAAAGGGGTGACCGTAAGGTTGCAGGGTTTATATTCATGTGCAATGCAAAGACTAAGAAGGAGTGCTACCAGAACCGCTTGTTCGGGATGCCCAGTGGGAAGATTGAAATGGTCAAGAAGATAAGGCCAGGGGTGAAGCTGTTCCTGTATGATTTTGACTTGAAGCTTCTGTATGGTGTGTACAAGGCAGCATCACACGGTGGGCTGAACCTTGTCCACGATGCATTTAATGGCAAGTTCCCTGCACAGGTAATTCTGCTCTTCCATTTCATCGATTCGTTTGCACCAAATGCAGTAGTCAGGCCATGTATTTTGTTTTGACCGGTTGTATGTGGGAGGAACGTGTGAGAATAGGGTTCACATGTGGTTTAAAGAATAGTGGACATGAATAGATATGTTGTTCTGCTGGGGCTCTGACATGTTTGGATTATAGGTATTGGTAAATTTAGTTCTAAATCTGTGCTGGTAAAGCTTTAGAAATGGCAGTAGTGAGAGGTGTTTACCCTTATTAGAAAAATAGGTGTTTTTAAATGTCATAGACGGATTTCACTATTTATTAAAAATAGTATGTTGCTATGCACTCATGGCCATATACATTGAGAAAATTTCTTGTGTGCCTGGTGTATGTAGTTACAGGGGTTAATTGTGGTTCTGCCTGGCCATTATCAAATAACACTTGGTTCTGCCAAACTGATGGCAATATTCTCTCTCTCTCTCTCTCTCTCTCTCTCTCTCTATATATATATATATATATATATATATATATATATATATATATATATATATATATAAACAAATTCCTCCCCTTTTGAATTTAGTGCCCCTTGTACCTCTCTAGGCTGTCAGGTTTTTGAATCGAGAATTGAGCAAGGCCTTTATTGCTTTGCTGTTTCCAACTGGTGAATTTCCGTGTCTTTTATGTTTAGCTTTTCTGCATTGGATCAAAATGCTCTAGTTCTAGAGATAGAGATATTTTGGGCTATTCTTTTTTTTTCAATTGATGAAGGCTGTGGATTT